CTCGTGTTGTCAGAGTACGACGCCTTCTATAGGCATCTTGCACGTATCTCACGCGCGAATGGGCTTCATCTGCACGCATGCACGGCATCCAGCTCCCTTAAGAAGCGCATGATCCCTTTGGAGAATCTATCGTATCAGTTGCACTGCTCGAACTCCAACGCCCCACTCAAGATTCTCTCCGTCCTGGAGGAGGGGGGCGTTGAAAAAGGGGACAACCAGAAGGAGAAAAGAGCAGGGAAAGCGCTAAGCAAAGCCCGTAAGAGCTTTAATATCACCACCACGGCAGATAAGATGGCGTTGGGGGAAGTAACAAACGCTACGTCTGACGGTGCGAACTCTTTCTCCTTTCTGGAGATGGAAGGATCAAAAGTTATCGTCGTGGAGCCGATGCCGTTCGGTTCGGAGGTGGCGCTCGTCGTTCGTTTCCGCGGTGTCGTACAGGAGGGGGATGTGGGAGCGATCTACAGCCCTTACAGTAGCCGCGGCAGCTCGTTTGAGCAGCCAATCTCCTGTAGCTTTCCCATTTTAACACATTTTGAGGTGGCGCTCGCGCGCTGGGCGTTTCCATGCCCAGATCACCCCCAATACCGAATCTGTTGGCAGCTCAAAACCCTCCAGCTGCCCTCCATCTACCACACGGTGGTTGGAAACACCTCTTTGGTGGTGTCTTCGTCTGGCCAAGGGAGCTGCGTGCAATATCGTGGCGCCCCGTGTGGTCCATTGCCCGCGTATGTGTTTGCTTTTGCGGCCTTTACAGGGGCGCGCGCACTCAAGAGGGTGTCGGGCAGCCTCGAAATCCTGCGCGTCGGGGTGTTTTTGCAACAACCCCCTTCCAACCTGCAGCTGGATGGTAACATGAGTGCGATGGTGACGTGCGAGGGGGGGGAACGCAATACCGACAGCCTCGATCTGCACGTCATGGCAACCCCGGAAGGAGGTGTGGAAGAGGTCACATTAAAACGTGTAATGCACGTCGTGCAGGAGGCGGTGCGCCTTTTACAGCACTTCTTTCACAGCCCCCTGCCGCTCCTACAGTGCGATGTGGTGACGGTGCTCTTGGCGCCGACCATGCCCTACTTATCCGGCATGGAGCATCACTGCTGCGTTTTTCTCGATGAAGCTATCTTCGCTACTAAGAGAGCTGGGGCTGCGGAGAAGGGCGGCAAAGACAAACACACCGCCGAAATTGAGCAGGTGGAACTCATTGTGCATGAAATTGTGCATCATTGGATGGGGAATGCTGTTGGGCTTCCCTTCGCGGTGAAGGAAGGGATTTGCATGGTCCTCGAAAGTGTGTTTGCGGACATCATTTTATACGGAAAGCCAAAGCGGCGCGTCATGGACTTCAGACGGGAAAAGAGGGTGCTTTAGCCCTGAGGAAAGCGGGCAGCGAGGTTCAACAGAAAAGCTCTCAGTCCGTAAAAACTATTCAGAATCCACAAAAGGGAAAGGAATTCACGGGGGCGGTCTACCAGCGCGCTCAGCTTGACGTGCGGGAAGCCATTGAGGCCTGCGGATTCGTCAGATTCAGACGGAAGCTGCTTCAGATGGTTCGCCAGTGTGTGCTTGAACCTCTTATGGAAGATCAAAGGTACAGCGACATCGCCATGGCGTATCGCACGCACATACCAGCACCCTCAGACGATAAGCAAATCCTAGAGCAACAAAACTACTGGTCGTCCGCGAAATACCTTCACTGGATGGAGCAGGTCGATGATGAAGCGCTAACTCCAAACGGAAATCGAAAAATAGACTGACGGCACATTACGTTTGGTCGTTTGGGGTGGTTATCTCAACCTCTCAAAATGAAAAAAAAGACACATCCTTGCCAAACATGAGGGTTATTATTCCGAAAGACCCTGAAACCTACATAGCACCAACGGTGTCTATTACGTTAAAAGCGTTGACGAGACTTAGCAAGTGCTGGCGTATTGCACTTCATCGTCCTTTCCCCTTAACGAGGAAAGGACGATGAAGGGGGATCTGAGCGCACAGTATACGGTCGAGGAGGAAAAAAGGAAAGGGCGTCACTCAACAGCCATTAATCATCCACTCTAATGCAGCGGTTGAGTTATAAATGAGTTGGTATAATTGTTTCATCCCGTTTCAGGTGTGTTATTTGGGCAGAAATCGTACTCGCTATGGTTTGTACTCCCATCTGTGAAAAGGGATCTCATGAAAGATCATTGATCCTTCACGCTTCTACCCGGGATATTTGCACTCCTACAAGTCTTAGTTATTGTTGTTGCTTTATAATCGTACAAAGCGCTTATTTCACAAGAACCTTATTATTTCTACTTTTATTCCCCTTAACGCTTTTATACCAATGCGACGTGCTCTTCAGATCTCCCTCATGCGCTGTGGGTGCGCCCCGACTTTCTTTGCCGCCACTACGCCTCTCGCGGCGGCCGTTCGCCCACAAAGCGGCTTTTCCTCCGGAGCCCCTCCAGGCACTGCCGAATCCGGCCGCAACGAACACCTCCACCCCCCAACCGGCGTCGAGAAATCACCACCGCTTGAAGAAGAATTTCAGCCCCCTAAGAAGCCCTCCGAGGCACCGACCTTTTTGAAAGTCCGCACAGACGATAAAGGCATCACCAACCTCCAGCTCGCGCGGAGCCCGGTGAACTCTTTCAACCTCGAATTTCTCCAAGAGCTAAATCAATGGCTACTGTGGCTTGGCAGCAACGAGGAAGCGCGGGCGGTCGTGCTCACCTCGGCGATCCCGACGGTCTTCTCCGCCGGGCTCGACCTCGCCGAGCTGCACAACCCCAAACAGGAGCGCCTCGTGCAGTTCTGGCAGAGCTTTCAGGAGCTGTGGTTAATTCTGAACAGCTTCCCGAAACCAATTGTGGGCGCAATAACGGGTAACAGCCCCGCGGCGGGGTGCGTGGTGGCGATGGGGTGTGATTACCGCGTGATGGCGCGCGGCCCCAAGGGAGATGCCAAGTCGCGCCTCTTCCGCATCGGATTGAATGAAACGAAGCTGGGGTTGACGACGCCGCCGTGGGCGATGCCGGCGTACGCATATCTGCTCGGCTCCCGCCAGGCTGAGAGGCTGCTGCAGCTTGGCGAGACGCCAACCGCAGACGAGGCGCTCCGGATCGGCCTCATTGATGAGGTTGCGGAGGACGAGGAAAAGACGATCGAGGCAGCTTTTCATCAGGCCGAGCGCTTCCTCGCCGTGCCGCAACAGTCAAGGTGGATGTCGCGCGACATGATGCGGCGGGAATACTTGCAGATGTTGGCCTCCGATGAGGATCGGAACTATGATACAGAGTTCAACACGCAGTTCTTAAGGAGCCCAGAGGTACAAAAAGCGCTGAGCAATTATTTGGAGCGTCTGAAGTCTAAAAGTCGAAAATAATAGAGGACCAGAGGACAGTGAGACGAGTGCGTGCGTACACACATCCATCTGTCAGTGTGGCTGAAATTATGCGCGAGAATCTAAACAATAACCTAATCCATTGGCTAAAAGATAGTTAAACTCGCAGTACCTTGTTTAATTTACAGGGATGTCTCTCTTTTCACAATCATATTTTATTTCCCTTTCCAGAATA